AAAAAAAAAAAAAAAAAAAAAAAAAAGAAAAAGAAAAAAAAGAAAAAAAAAATGTCCAAAGTCACGAACTAAAAGATGCGAAAAAAGATCAGTCCAGTATTATGCTATATGCCCGCTTCCAGTAATGCCAATCAGGTCGAGGAACGAACGGCGCCCTCGAATACACACGTGCACACGAATCTGTCGGGAGTGTAGACACACACACATCGTGATTATTCCTTGGACGGCGAATATTCATCGTTTAGGCGGTACACATCCTATTATGAATGAGCAACAACATCAAAGCCCAGTCTAAACAGCGTACGTGAAGAGCGCAGAGCATAACTGTGAGCTTCTTACAGTATTCAGCGAAAGAACGGAAAATACCTTTGGCTGTCGAGAGAAATTAATTTATGGACACGAAGTGTGATTCGCATGGCATGCGGCATGATTCGTGTTAAGAGATGATGAAGGAACAATTCGGTGATGCAGGCTAGCCTGACTTTAAACGCGTTCCCAAGGATACCTGTGTATCGCGTTTAAATTCGCGATTGATCAACCTTCGCGAAAGCCTACCGAATTGTTCGTACGATGAAAGCAACGACACGATAGGTTTTGCACTGTTTCGTACTACGTTAACATCCGAAACACAAGTACACGATTTTCCTCGGTACTTCCTTCCCTGCGAACAAGTAATCTCGATGTTGATCGAACACGCGAGTAAATTAGCGCGCCGCCAGTGACGTGTCCACGCGAACCGCGGAGAAATTTCCACGTCGAGAGAAGGAGAAGTGAAGAACGTTTACCTGTTCTGCGCGATTTTCCTCAGCGTGTCCGGGCTCCGTATCAACTTGTCCAATGTCTGCGTAAGATTGGCGAACGTGGGACGATGAGTTCGTTCCTTCTGCCAGCAATCGAGCATCAGCTGATAGATAGCCTCAGGGCAGTCCATCGGCGCTGGAAGCCTGTACCCTTTCTCGATCGACTTTATCACATCCTGATTAGACCAGTTCCAATACGGCCTCTCGCCGTAGGACATCACCTCCCAACAAACGATGCCCATGCTCCATACGTCGGAAGCGCTGGTGAACTTTCGGAACGCTATCGCTTCCGGAGCTGTCCATCGTACCGGGATCTTTCCACCCTTTTTGCCGGAGTAAACAGTCTTTCAAGATTCGATATTTGAAAGTCTCGGTTCGAGCGACGAGAACCGCGTCTCGTCAAAAAATAAAAAAAAAAAAAAAAAGAAAAAAAAAAGAAAGGAATAACCTTTCGATATGATGGAACTTTGTTTCTCTTAAACGTATCGCGAAGAGAATGCAAAATCAAGGTAGAGTCTTAATTATCCAATGTAAAATATTATTTACGACGCTGTGATGTTTTGGATTGAGCAAAACTTTCGTTTCAACAAAATAGCATTCAAAGCTTGGATAAACAAAGTCCCAGCACAACGAGCAGTCGTCCTCTACGAGTTGACTACTCACCCTGGTCGTGTACGCCCCTTCGGTGGCGCTTTCGATCTCTCTGCTAAGCCCGAAGTCGGCGATCTTGCAGACGAGCGCAGCGTTCACGAGCACGTTCCTCGCCGCAAGATCTCGATGTACGTAGTTCATCTCGGCGAGATACTGCATGCCACTCGCGATACCGCGAAGCATGCCCACCAGCTGCAGCACCTGGAACTTGCCGTCGTTGGCACGCAGGAAAGTATCCAGGCTGCCGTTCTCCATGAACTCCGTGATGATCATCACTGGATTGCTCTTGGTCACGACACCTTGCAGGAATATCACGTTCGGATGCTCGAACTGACCCATGATCGAGGCTTCAGTGAGGAAGTCGTTGCGCGCTTTGTCCGCGGAGCCTGGTTTCAGAGTCTTGATCGCCACGTCGATCTCCGTTCGACCGTCCGGGGGTAGTTTTAACTTTCCACGGCAAACGTCGCCGAATTCTCCACCACCTGGCGCGTTAACGAGAAACGTGAGAGAGAGAGAGAGAGAGAGAGAGAGAGAGAGATATTTGTTAAAAAAAAAAAGAAAACCAAAGACAGGTTGGCTCGTTCGTCGAGATACAGTGGCTACGAAAAAGCATTTACATTTATTTAATTTTCTATCATTTTTCGTGTAACTACGTATATCATTCGTTTGAAATTTGACCACGAACATGAAATGTAGAACCTGTTCAAAGGACGAGTGTGGGAGCCACTGTACAAACGTTTGAGAAAAACGGTGGAGGAGTATCTGTACCTATGATAGCTTCTATCGTAATGTATCCAGCGTCGATTTCACGAGCGAATTCTCGCACGGCTTGATTCGGATCCTCGTAAGTGTGAGGATCAACGTAACTCCTCGCGCCACCGCCACCAGCACCTCCTGCACTCGCGGCGGCAACTCCCACTGCAGGTGTGAACAGCGGCGTGGTCACTGCAACGTCACCAAAACAGAGTTCATTATATTAACACGAGGGCCGGTGTGTTAAATTTTGACGGAATCTCGGAGCGCGGGACTGTGAACAACCGTTCGCTCCGTGACTGTCAACCGTATCATCCCGTGAAAACACTCACACACCCTTCCTCTTTA